CTGCAGTCCCCATGAATATGCATACTTTTCCAGTTTCCCCCACAATCCAAAGACATACAAGTGAATTTAATAAACTAAATTGACCAAAGTGTATAAGTGTGTGTGAATGCGAGAGTGTATTAGTGTTTACCAGAACTGGGTTGCAGTTGAAAGGGCATCCACTGCGCAAAACATAAACTGGAATAGTTGGCGGTTCATTCCATTTTGGCAACCACTGATAAATAAGGGACTAAGCTGAAGGAAATGAGTGAGGATTAATGAGTTGGACGAGTGTGGCCGAAACTGGGTATTGTCTGAGGTGGTAATATATTTGAATTTTTCCTTATTCAAGAAGTGTGTTTTATATAGCATGAATGTGAATAACTTGAATGTAATTAACACATAATATAATCACAAGACATACTTGTTTCAGTTGCATCACTTCTCTTAATATTTTCTTTCTTGTGACTTCATAGTTAACACAGTAGACAGATAGCGATCACTGGCTGACTGAACTTTACTTTTAGGTTTACTAAGTTCAATGTAATTAATAGATTTACATAATAATGTTACCCACATACAGTTAATATGTATTTGTGTTACTTTTTGAAAGTTAAATCATTAAATTCTATCTTTACTCTATAAAATGCCTGACAATGGCGGTAAATAGGTGTAATATGAATGGATTTCGTTGCACAATTACTTCTGTTTATCTCTCAGTATAGTTTCAACCAGACCGGTTTGTGTCACAGGAAGTGTTGTACATACATATATACATACATGTTCAACAAGTACCATAACTTGAATGGATTTGTGGATTTATTTTTATGATTATCATTAAAGACTATAAAATACACAAGACATGTCAACCATATAGTTTTAAACTGGGAAAAGTGTAACCAGGGATTCGGACCAGCCGTGAGTTCCTTTCTGCAGATTTTGAGAGATTTTAATGTTAAAAAATGAAACTAAAGACAGTTATTGTTTAATTTTATTGGTGGTTCCTGATTTGAAATTTAATCATAAACTTGCCAAGCAATTTTGAAGAGTTTAATGTTTCCTCATTCAGATAGAATGGGAGAGGCATTTCAAAGATGGCCGTAGATTAAAATTTCTTTCCTTAAAGGGACTTTGCTATCATCCATAGGTAAACAGCCATTAACATCATAGGTGGAGAAAGTCAATCACAGAATTTCCTGGATTTCCTGTTCTGGACTTTAAACATTTCAGGACTCTTATGAAGGATGAGTGAGCTCTTGGATTTCATCTAAAATATCTTAATTAGTGTTCCAATGATAAACAAGGTCTCAGGAGAACAGCAACAAGGGAGAGTAAATAATAACAGAGTTTGAATTTAAGGGTGAACTAACCCTTTCAGAAGAATGTGGGTGCACAGTATTTCCCCTTCAAATAAATGGCTACAATCAACTGCTTGGTTACCAACATTCTTCAAAATATCTTCTGTTGTGAGTTCACTTTCAGAAATAAAAGCTATGAAAGCTGTCACTGGGGCAGTACCTTTTCAAGTTGCACACCTTTGTACCAAAAGGGTTTATATTGGTACATTAAAGGTACACCTTTTAAAAAGGTCCAGCCCCAGCAGTGGTGGAAAGAGTACTGAAAAATCTGACTCAAGTAAAAGCACCATTCCTTGCCCAAAAATGTAGTTCAAATAGTGTAAAAGTATCTGTTGTAAATATTATTCAATGCGTAAAAAGTAGCCCTTTTAAAAAGTACTCAAGGGTAGTGAGTATTATACTATGAAAGTCTAACGCGTTTACATGCAATTTGTGCATGTATGTGAGTGAAAACGTAACATTCTGTAGTGCACTTAGTGATTGTTTAAGGCCATTTCAGTCAGCCAGTTTAAACAGTCTCTGGTTTATTGTGTGTGATGATTTTAGATGTCTTCTTGGACACTTCTTTTTTTTTTTTTTTTTAAGATTTATTTTTGGCCTTTATTGAGAGGATAGGACAGTATTAGACAGGAAACTAAGTGTGAGAGAGAGGGGGTGGGGGGGTGGGGGGATATGGTCAGGAAATGTCCTCAAGCTGGGAGTTGAACTCAGGACGCCCTGAAGTGTTACTGCACCATATGTCAGCGTTAACCACTAGGCTATTTGCACTGACTTCTTGGGGTACCCATGTTTTGAGGTAGTTTAGTATGACGCAATTTAGTTTCTATGTGCAATTTCATTGGACAGAAATCAGAGGACTTATTGTTCTACTTTAGCCAATCGCATAGACAAGACAAACATAAAGTAGTGACTGAAGGAAAGTAATGGGTAAAAGAACCAATACAGCACTAAAAATGTACTCAAGGGGAAGTAAAAGCATTTTTTGAAACTACTTCCTGAGAAAAACTACTCAGTAGCAGTCATTTGAGTATTTGTATTTGTTACTTTATACCACTGAGTCCCAGTGACAACGGTTGTACCTTTGTTTCTTACATATATTATGAATGTCATCATTAAATTCCCAAGTATCTACAGTGCTCCGGATAATTGAGTACAACCCATTTTGAAAATTATTATTTGTATTAATTTCTCAGTAAATATAGGCAATGCATTTTAGTGCATTTAAACAAAACAGATTTATTAAACAGATATATGTATTAAAATAATAATTTAGTCACCAAACATACTAAGAAATTAAAAGATAATACAATTCAAGCTAAATATTGCAAAAACAAAAAAATTACAACCTACAAAATTTCAACAATTTTTTGCTTCTCTTGATTTTTCTCTTTTTAAAATTTGTATTTAATACAATTTTTTTTCTAACATATAAAATTGGGTGTAATACTTTTGGACCGTTATTGTAAGTTATTTTGACAGATAAGCTCCAGATTTGGCTTCAGTACTGACTAATCGAATGTATATGCACAAATATAATATTGTATAGGTTCCTATTAAAAATATGAATTTAAAAGATAATTTGTGAGGCGTGCACTTATATATGCTGAGCACTGTATGTAAACAGTCCTATTCTTTCAACATAGAGAACTGTTCTTCAATCTAAAGGATTTCTGCATATTAGAGCAACAAGATGTTGTGTTTGTGCATTGATGGAAGGTGGTTGGGTTCACAAGTCACATACACTAAAGAGATAGGGACAGTGTGTTTGTCTTTGTGTAGGCTGTTGTGTAGGAGTGTGTGGTATGCATAGGAAAGTACAAGCGACTGATGGGGATGTCCCAAAGGGTTTAACACTTCCAAGAGAAAAAAGAAGAAACAGGGGATCTGGGTGAAAAAAAAAGACAACAACTTGTCAGTGCAAACACTGTTGTTGCCTTCCCCTGGATGAAAAAACACAATCGCATACACACACACACATAAAAATAATGTCTGTAATATCTCCTAAACCAGAGTGTGCTCTTTTAAATCAAATCTGGTAGAGTGAAAGTGCATAATGGGACTTCTTCATGTTGTCAACATAAGCCAATGAACAACATAAGCCAACATTTTTTATCTTCATCCTTCCTGTTTTGCCAGTGAAATCTCAGCACCTGTTCAGCAAAAATTTAATTATTGCAGTTTTGTTTTTTATTTGAGGTAAAGTGACAGCTCATATTTTGACTTCACTATGGAAAATAGTCCAAATATGAGTCCTGTCACTTTCAGCAACCTTCTAACTCATTTCTATAGTATGATTTCAAGTACGATGATTTTCTGACCATCCACCTTCTCTGATGTTTCCAACCACAGCCACTACCACCGAAAGAAGCAGAAGAAAACATACAGAGAGAGAGAGAGAGAGAGAGAGAGAGAGAGAGAGAGAGAGAGAGAGAGAGAGAGACAGAGAGAGAGAGAGAGAGAGAGAGAGAGAGAGAGAGAGAGAGACAGAGAGAGAGAGAGAGAGAGAGAGAGAGAGAGGTCCATGGCAAGAAAATGAGAGCATGAAAAGGGGAAACCCTGTGGGAGAGGCCATGTCTAGATGCTCATTGAGTCAAACAGCCACATTTCACACTACAGCACACACTAAGGTGAGTGAAGCAATCTTTCTCATAATCCAATACTGACTATCAATGTTATTGCTTAATGATCATAAGATAACGGTGCCATTTGATTATCATTCTCTTGTAGCAGATACTAAATCAGATATTAATTGAAGGATTTTTGCATATAGCCACTAATAGATGACAAGTGTAGATCCTCATATGTAAGTCAAATGTAACCTATAATATTCAGATAAGAAGTCAAATGAGATGCAAATACCTGAACCAATTGTTCAAATGTGAATGTTATCACTTAAATCTAAATATATGGACTCATTCTGGAACTCATCTGAAGAGGTCATACTGAGTCTTCAGTTTGATTTATGATTGATTTATGATATTGATTTTATTTTTAAACTAGACTGATAATGTCTAGGTCAATCTGATTAATGCAGCTCTACTTCAGATAGTATTTTTAATTCGATTCTCAGATATGTGAGATGAACAGCATGTATTTGTAAAACTTTAGAATTGTTTAAACTTTATACTATTGACAGCAAACACTGTTCAAAAGTTTCCTTCACCAAATCAATATGTCACTGTGGTAGTAAAATAAACAAAATGAAAAGATAAAAGTCTCATCAGATCAAATAAGAAAAATGTCCAGCTTCAAAGTACCCAGAGTACTCAGAAGGTTACATTCAACCCACCTGGAGGTGAGCTGGGTATCTTTGTGGGCATCATGGGAATTCACCTGACTTAGGTGAAAAGCAAATGCACCACTGCTCTTCTTATAGCCATGCACGCGTGCATAACTACAAACCACAGTGGAAAGAGAGTGGATGGCCTGAGAGTTTGAGCATATGTGATTATTTATATAAGAGCACTGTAAGATTCAATAGATTTGCTCAGCAAGTTAGTTGTTTATCTTCATTGGCTGTTTTATTTGCGTGATGTTGTGCTTTCTAGGCATCTAGATCAAATCCATGTATTTAGGTCAGTAGGCTGTATGGTGGTTTCTTCCACTTCATTCAGTGTACATGTATATCATGGTTTTCACCGATGCAATTCTTTCCTTTCTCTTGGTGTCTGCTAGTCACGGAGATGACCGGCCAGAGTAACCCCAGGTTCCGCCTCCTGATTGGCTGGTGCTGCCTGATGAGCTCAGCTCTTTTGATGATGACCGTATATCTCGCGACAAGTTCGAACAAACAGGTAAAGTGAACTGTTAATAGTCATTCAGTCAAACCATGTTAGGATTCAATCTTTTATTAACTCGTAGCAAAGTATTTTTTTGTTCTTCATTTAGAGGTAAAAAGACATTTGAAATATTTTAGCCAATATTTCCTGACATTGCTGCTAAAATGAATGTAAATACATGCCATGTGTTTCCCTGTAAAATAGTATTAACCCCCTTTTCGGATGATATTAAATTAAAGTTATTAGCCTTCCTGTGATTTTCTTTTCAAATATTTCCCAAATGATATTTAACAGAGCAAGCCATTTTTCGCAGTATTTCCTACAACATTCTTTCATCTGGAGAAAGTCTGATTTGTTTTATTTTGGCTAGAATGAAAGCAGTTTTTAATTTTTTTAAAACCATTTAAGGTCAATATTATTAGCCCTCTAAAGCAATATTTGTTTATGTCTACAGAACAAACCACTGTTGTACAATGACTTGCCTAATTTACCTAAATAACCCTTTAAATTGCACTTGAAGCTGAATACTAGTATCTTAAAAAATATCTAGTAAAATATTATGTAGCTTCTGTCATCATGGCAAAGATAAAATAAATCCATTATTAAAACTATCATGCTTAGAAATGTGCTAAAAAATCTTTCTGTTGAACAAAAACTGGGAATTATATACAGGAGGGCTAATAATTCAGGAGGGCTTATAATTCTGACTTCAGCTGTATATGGTAACTCGACATTTGATTACTATATATTTTCTCAAAAGTTCAAATGTCTTGTTATAACCCCCAGTAGCCTTCCAGGGTTTTTCTGATGAGTATTTCAATGATGCAGTAATTAAAATAAAGATGCCGCTAGATTTACAGCAATGACAAAACCGCAGTTAATAAAACATCTGATAACTTTGTTGACATTTTTACTTGAGGACATCTGATAGACTAAACAGAGGATCTGGTCAAAGAAGGAGGGGTCAAATGATAAGCACATTATGGTGTCATTATCAGACCAGTGGTAGTTCAAAGGGGTTTCCCAGAAAGACTTTTTTTGCAAGCTGTTTTTGAATTCCAGAAATAAACTACAAACAAATTCTGTTTTGGCTATTTTCCCTAATTACATCACACCAGTTTGTCCTTCGATTTCACTTATAGGCAGATTTGCTCTTCAGTGCTTGAACTTTCAGCAATGAAAATTAAACCGCACTGAAATCTAATAAACTGAACTTCAACTGTGAAAACTGGACTGACACAGTTTCAATTTACTAAAACTGTAATGTTAAGCTGCTTTGACTACATTGTAAAAGCGCTATAGAGATAAACATGAATTGAATGAATAATCCAGCATATCCAGGCCTTTAGCGTACTGACAAACTAACAGTTCCAGACTTCAATGTGCCATAGAGTCCCAGTTGGAAAGCTTTGTACAACAGTTTGATTACACTGACAACTGGTGTGGCTGAGCATACATCTCATAAAACATCTGCCAGATTAATTGGCGGTTCATTTCTCAGTGGCAACCCCTGATAAATCAGGGACTAAGCTGAAGGATAATGAGTAAGTGATCATTTGTCAGATAAACATGCTTTTCTTTTTCTTTTTAGTCTGAAACAAACACGACAACATCTGAACACCACAGTTCAGCAGGTTTGTTTCTTCTTGCATTTGTCCAGCCATAAGATAATTTTACATAATATGTGACATCAATGTAACATTTTAATACTATTTTACAGGACCTCAAGAAAAGAGAGTCCAATTTTCAGGTAAGAATCTAATAGTTATCTGTCTATGAGTTGTACATCTAATAATTTGGACATAAATGTAAACAACAGAAGAATAGAATAGCTTATGTCCAATACCTTCCTAAGAAATGCAGGCTTCCACACAATTACTTCATGTTGTCCCAAAACAAATCGATTAAGTTAACTTAATCGTATTTACAAATTTAAGTGGACTAAATATAAAACAATTAAGTTGTCCTAACACAAATAAATTAAGTTAACTCAATCGTTTTTACAAACTTAAGTGGACTGAACAAAAAACAAGTAGGTTATCCCAACACAAATCAATTAAGTTAACTCAGTCGTTTTTACACATTTAAGTGGACCCAACATAAAACAATTAAGTTGTCCCAACACAAATCGATTAAGTTGACTCAATCGCTTCTACAAATTTAAGTGGACTGGACATAAAACAGTTAAGTTGTCCTAACACTAATCAATTAAGTCATTTAAGTGAACTCAATAGTTTTTACAAATCGATTAAGTTAACTCAATCGTTTTTACAAATTTTAGTAAACTGAACATAAAACAGTTAAAGTGTTCCAAAAAAAAGAATTGTATTGTTTCAGCTCATTTCAAATAAGCAAAAGTAATTTTTGAGTGTATATTTACAAAA